AGGGAGCTCGGCGGGAGCGCAGCCCCTTCGCCGTGCCGCATCCTCCCCGCCGCGGGGCCGCCCCCCGCGGCAGCGTGCCCGCCCTCCCGGCGAAGCCGCCGCCGCCCGTGCCGGTGCCGCCGCTGCGGGCGGTGCGCGGCTCCGCGGCTGCCGGCCGGACCCGGCACCGTTGCCAAGCGACGGGAGCCGTGACACAGGGAAATTGCGGCAGGGCGGCCGTGCCCGCCACCCCCGCCACCTGCGCACCTGCGGCCGCCGCCGCGCCCCGGCGGCCCCGCCCGCGCCGGCCCCGCCCCGATCGCCACGACAACCCTCGGGCTCCTCTCCACCTCCAAGTAATGTCTTGGCAGCCTCAGGCTCGACTACCTCACCTTTGGTGTTTCCCCCCCTCCACTCAGGTTTGCCGTAATGCCTAGGGACAAAGTCAAGAGGCAGGTGGAAAGGTGAAGCAAGAGGACGAGGAACGAAGTGGCAGCTGAGATCCATCAGTGGTGTCACCCAGACCCTCTAGGTTTCAGCAGAGACGGGGGAAACAGTGTTCTCTTTTGAGTTACTTCGTGAAAACCGATTAAATTGAAGCTATCACCTAAGTGAGACATAATCTAACACATCCCGTCACACTGCTGCACTTATTCTGAGGAGGAGATTGCTGCTGATTGCTTTAGTCAAGTCTTATTACAGGTCCACCATGATCTAGAAAGGCAAATCTCTGGCAGCTATGTCAGTAAGTACAGAAAACTCATCCTGTGGCTTGGGTTTGCTCCCTAATGTACCTAGCAGGGTTTGCTGGGGTGGATAGACTGAAAAACTTCTTTTTTGAACAGTATCCTTAGAATTCTTTTGAAGCTGGACTGTGACCTAGCCTGCGTGAAACCAGTTTTTATCTACCTCTACGTAACCTCTTGTGTGGACAGTCTGTGGGTAAAATAGCCTGACAGAAACTGGAGGGCAATAAAGAAAATTCTTATGGTGTCAAACAGTGTTTTTAAAACTAAAGGATCCAACACAGATTGGGAAAAATCGTCAGAGAGATTATGCACATTCAGTTAAATTGTATATATTCCAGCCTCAACAATTCTGCCATTCTATGTTCACCCAGACCATGCTATTTTGTGTCTTTCACTCCAACCATCAGTGCCTGGTTTGAGAACAAACAAATCCTGAAGCTGCACATATGCATTTTAATGTCATTTGCAGTTTGTCTCAGCAAAATCATTTGGGACACATTTATTTTAGTACATATATAACTTTTAGTTATGCAACAGGCTTGAAATTTATTATTTAAGAACTTCTTTTAAACATGTGCTTTGAACAGTCTCAATGAACCTGAGTCTTCTGACATTCAGTAATTTGCTTTGTGTTCAGCCCAGACTATCAGAGAAAACCAAACATATCACATCTGTTTCCACTGGAGACCTGTATCACATCAATAATGCAGCATCACCAGACTCTCCCTGAAAGGCTCCTCTGCTAGAGAAAGAGGAAGAACAAGAGTAATTTTTTTAAAGGGCAAAGAGCTCTTTTCCCTGTCTGAGTCATATTTTCTATTTCTGTCAAACTAAACCATTCTATTTAGCTATCTTCTTTATACAACAACCTTTTTTCCATATTTTCATTCCTAAAGATTTGAGTGATTAGGCTATCATCACATTCACAGATTTCAAATTACTCTTAGCAAAATATGTTGTAGGTGAGGGCAAATCCTGGAAAACACGAAATATGTTCTTGGATGAAAAGCTGCCAAAGGTGTTGTTCCACGGCAGCTATCAATGTAATCTTAATTTGCTCTGCATGGCCAGTTGTACAATGGCAGGCTGAATCCCTTAGAGCAAATTATTTTGCAAAGTTACATATCCCTACCTATCCTGCAGATTCTTCTTCTTGTTTAAAATAAAGCATTGGGAGCTCTAATGAAACATTTTCTTTTATTTTCAGTTGATATGGATTTTTGTGTTCCCAGAAGTGGAGTGGTTGCAAAAGGCAGCTTTCCTAATGGTCTGATTTACTGGTTGCCAGAGTGAATTTGTACCTGTGTTTGCATCAACTACTGAGCACTGCTGACAGGCTCAGCTCCTACCTTACTTGCATAACTTTCTACATGATGCTGTGCATTTATCACTAAACTGTGGTGAATGTAAATGTTAGGAATTGCAAAGAGGCTATTGGAGCTGAGTTTTCTTTCTTCTTTCCCATTCCCTTTTCTTTTTTTCCTTTCTCTTTTCCTTTTTCACATTCTCCTCTCCTCTCCTCTCCTCTCCTCTCCTCTCCTCTCCTCTCCTCTCCATATATCTATATAAAAATCACCAATTTTTAAGCATATGCTTGCTTTTGTTATGTTGTTTGAGCATAAGATGGTAACCTTCGTCTGATCCTTCTGGGGATGTGCTTCAAAACAACGCCATGATTTTTAGTATATCCACTTAAATATGTTCTACTCCAGACTGGCTGGGTATGTCAGGTCTAATCCAGGAGATATGTAGCCAGATAAATATATCTCAGCCCTCAGCAGGCCCAAGGTCCAGAAGCAATTCAAAAGACAACCCAAAGTACTTGGAGTACTTCTATGAAATACTGTAACATCTATGGGTTCCAGGCATGGACATGCAGTTCCCAGTGTAGAGGCCCTACAAAACAGAGAGAAGGCCCTTTCTCAAATTTGAGCACCAGATTAAAAGGATAAATATGAAAAGGATTTTAGAGTAGTATTAAAAGCATAAGAGAGACATTTTGCATAGTTTTCAGGTTCTACCCAGTGATTTTTCTTCACGATTTCCCAGACACAGAGTAACAAATGTATGGAATGGTCATTGACATCCTAATTTACACCCTGCTAGCAGAACAAGTTCCAGTCATAGCAGTAGCTCTAGCCTGAAAGCCCGTTTTATTTATAGCTTATTTAGCTATTTTTCTATAGCTAATATATTACATTAATAAAAATAAAAGCTGATGTACATTTTGTACATATGCTTCACAGTATAGTGTGCTAAATGCCAAGGTTTCCTGAATCTTTATTACTGGAATTCATAGCTTTATCTTATTCAATAGCTAGAAAAGTTGTAAGAGCATCACTCCAAGTGATCACTTCATATACTTTGTCTGCTTATTTGTTTGTTACCCATGCCAGTATAAATTCCAATATGATTAATGTTGGAGACTCTGGTATGATTAATGCTGGAGACTCTGGTACAATTAATGGTGATTTGATAACCAATGCAGAGGAAAAGAGGAACATTGTGAATGAACTAAGAGAAATCACCCTCACTGGGAAAATATATGTTTGAATTCCATGCAGACCTACATCAAACATAGTGAATATGCATTGTGTATTAGATTCTCAATCTTATTTGATATGTGGTAGAATCAGAGGCAACTTTTCTTTTTGTTGTGTAGCAAGCCTGGGTCTAGATAATCCACTGAGAGTGAATGGCAATTTGCATGTCTGGTCTTCTTTCAAAATTAATTATAGCAGACATACACATTGCTGGGAACATTTGCCTGGGTGAAGGCAACACACAGCCATGAAATTTGGTGATTGAAAGGTAAAGGGAATGAATGTTTTCAGATGAACAAGTTATTTCACAAGAAGAAGAAGAAAAAAAGCATCGAACTGCTGCTTCAGTTTTTACTGTCATTCTCCATTAATAGATTTTTTATTTTTGAGGCATTAGTGACACTAACCACTTTAAAAATATGTGTATTTTTAACTGACATTTTGCAAAAGGCTTGAAACCAGAGGAGACTGAATGTGAAGTGCTCCTGGGTCAGTTGTGACATATTGCAGGAAGTCTGTGCTGGTCACACCTGCAGGTTATGAACCGTGCTCAGGGGCAGATGTCACTCAGTTTCTTTTAGATGTTCTGTTCATGACTTCTCAGATGGTTTAAAAAGAAACAGGAACCATTCAGCCATGTTATTTGCCTTCACTTTTGATTTGTTGATACAAGGCAACTACAAATAACTGCAAAAAATTCTGTGTTTTTCATGGACACAAAACTGCATAAAGGCCAATCAAGAACACTTGCCAAACTATTTGCCTGGAAGGGAAGACCAGTGCAGTACTTCCCTCAAAAAACTGGAATTACTTCTTTTTTAAATTTATTTTTTCATGTTGTTCTCCTTCCAGTTTCCTCATTGCTATACGATGTAAGCTCTTTTAGATGGAGGTCATCCCAAAGAAATGATGAGATATCTGTGTACAACTGTTTCACGATTAGAACCTTCATATTTTTTAAACATTTTTGTTGTCTATTTGAAGGTCCACAGAAAATTATGTGAACATGTATTTTGTAAGACAAGTTCATAAAATAGCTTATTTTATCTTCAAGCCTCAGAAATAGTATGTGGAGTCACTGGAATGGCACTAGTCTATGAGAAATAATGATGAAGTAGGTTGGACAGAGGGTTGAAAATATATTTTATTATAAACTATATTAAAAGAGCACTATGTGCATGCCAAAACACTTGTTGTAGCAGGGGAACATTAGAATGCACTAATAACACATGGCTCCTGCTGTCTTTTTTTCATCTAGGGCA